GAACATTATACAACTGTCCTATCCCAGGTGGGGAATTGAGAGTTGTAGTCAGTACAGCAAATGGTGGTTATTTTTTTCTCTCCATTGTTAAATATCATTTATGGCTTTATTATAGTTTATATATAATGGCATAATTATTCTTTTAGTATTTTTTTTTTCCCTGTACTCTGGAAAGTAGGCTTACTGGGTCTGTCAAAAATAAGAATGATTTATAGGATATAGGATGATCAAGCACATTTTTTCCCCAAGTCTACTTAAGTACACTTAACCTGATGGTCATTGTGATTGAGATTAAAGTGAAATGGAGAATATATTAAGCCAGTATTCGGGACTCCTGAAACTTCTATTTAAGCATCTTTTGTTTTTTTTTAAAGAATAAATAAAAATCTTTAATGTTCCCCTGTCCCCAACTCCTTTATTCCTTGGCTAGAGCAATGTGCACGTGTTTCATTCCTTTGTCATAATTCAGTAGTTGAAATAACTGCAGTAAAGATCAGTTTTGTTAATGAAGTGTTTAAAGCAAGAGTTTAGAAGTGTTTCCTGAGAATGGGCTTGGTCAGCATTATTTAATACAATTTTTTTCTCCTTCTAGGTGATGTTAATGAACAATATCACAACAAATGAACGATTGATCCAGAACCTCCAAGGTACCCTTTTATGTAGTCCTACAGTACTATCCTGTCAGAGTTAGGGGCCAGCTCTCTAAAAGACATTTTTGAGTGTGTGAGTTTTCCATCCCCAGTCACAGGAAAGTGTGTAGAAACTGCCATAACATAGAGACTGATCTTGGTCAGAGTTCCACTCAAGTTCAGGTATAACAAGACTGTATTCAGAAAGATGTCTGATGCAGAACCCCAGAGCTTTGTTCTCAGTAGCAGAAAATAACATGATATAGAGCAGACTCCCTGGTGAATCAGTAATTAATGAACTTATTTTTCAGGGGGCAATATTCCGTCTGATATGGGAATATTGTGGACTGTGGGAGTTGTACATCCCTGTATCACAGGGCATAATTTGGCCTAATTTATCCTTAGGATTGCCACTTTGGAATCCTTCCTAGCAAGTTATGTCTCCACTGTCTGGTATATTGATAAGTTCACTAGCTTGGTGAATAAAATTGTCAGCCTTTTTAATGCTTTGTATAAAACCTTTTTGTCAAGAACAAGGCATTCAGAGTGTCATAGTATAATGGATGAGGTCCTTACCAGGGAAAGCCAGTAACTTATAAACAGGTCTGCTTTGTGATGAAATTATCTGTACACTGCCTATTACAGTAGGTGGTTGTAAACTTGAATTTAGGTAACTAATAGGAAAATGACAACTGTAGCACACCATGTTGTAAGTCCTGTGGTTCTCTAGAATGCTGGGCTTCAGGCCCAAGAACAGTCAGGGAAGGTAGATGAATTAAAATTCTCTCTTTGGAGCCAGAAAGTGACTTCTGTAGTCTTCTTTAACATGCATTAGACAGAAAATCCTCCTGGTCTTCCATCTCCCTATTGGCAAAGAAACATCATAGATGCAGCAAATGTGATTGCATATTTTTGTTACAGAGTGGGTTTTTTAAAATTAATTTGGGAGACAAGAAAGGTAGGCAACTCAGCACTTTTGCTGTTAAGTTTGCAATTTTGGTATATTTTCTTAATATTCCTTGGTTGGGTTTTTTTGTTTGTTTGTTTTTTAAATCCTCTTGGCCCAGAGCACTTGAAAGTGTTACAGATGGAAAATGGGAAGCTACAGCTGGATGTGTACCGGTATCAGAAAAACCAGACTAACCTTCAGAGGAAATTTTCATATGATCTGTAAGTTTTTGTTCTTTTAAATAGATCATAGAATCATAGAGACGTAGGGCTGGAAGAGACCTCCATAGGTGATCTAGTCTAATCTCCCATGCCTGTGGCAGGATCATCCCTGTCCAAACCATGTCATACAAACCATAATCTAAACTCTACATAAGACTACCCTCAGCCCTGACAAAACGCAGACCTAACACCCTAACCTGCCACAGGTAAAGCAGGGGAACCATGGCAGCCAATTTCCTGCCTCTATGAAATATTGTCTATGAAATGTTGCTCAAGAGATCCTGAGTAGAGGGCCACACCCCTTGCTAAAGAGGAAGGAAGGAAGGAAGGAACCCTCCCCCCAGTCTATACCAATTTGAGCGTGGGGTAAAATTCCTTCCTGACCACAAATATAGCCACTGGTCTGACCCTGAGTAGAGGAGCAAGACACTCTAGCCAGAAACCCCTGGCTTTGATTCCAGTAGGAGCATTGGCACATACCAGCTAATTTCCCTAGGCTTGGCTGTAGCCAACACCCAGTGCCTCTAGGAACTCTTAAAAACACCTTGACGCATACAGCAGAAAAGGGCATGGGCGGTATGGGTAAACAGCAAATCCCAGAAGTATGGGAAATACCCATAGTAGAACATAGGCATAGCTACACCTAGATCATCCCTGACCAGTAGCTGTCCAGCCTCTTTGTGAACACCTCCAGTGATGGAGAATCCACTTCTCTAGGCAGTCTATTCCACTGCTTCACTATTCTAACAGGGAAGAATTTTTTCTGGATATCCGATTTTAAATGTACTTTGCTGCAACTTCCAGTCATTAGTCTGTGTCCACCTCTCTGCAGCAAGAGAGAAAAGTTGCTTTCCTTCTTTATGGCAGTCCTTCAAGTATTTGATAAGATATAAGATGACTTATAGAAATAAAAATCAAATGGTTATTGGTCAGAATATTCCTTGGCCACCTGCACTTGAGTACCTGTTTTTCATAGATATACTTTTAAAATATGAGAGTTAACTGATGCATGCTTTTCTTTTTCTGAGATTGCCTCTCACTTGGTTTCTCTTTATGCACAAAGCTGCTTGTGGCTCCATTACCACATTTTCTGACACTTCATAAACACTTTCGAATGTGTTTCTCCCAGCACCCCCATGAGGGAGTGAAGCATCTATCTACTCATTTTACAGATGGTCGACATTTCTTATGCCAATCATAAGTTGTTCTCTTCTCCCTTCTTTCCGCTATCTGTAGGAATCATTGATGTCTGGTTCTCTGTATTTTTTGGAAAACAAACTAATCAGACTTCTTTGTTTGCATTATGAGGATGACTGTGGGATGTCATTTAGTTAGCATCAAGGTAGTTAGTGCTATCCATGTTGGCAGCAAAAGAACCACTGTAGGAGTAACTGGATCTTGTATAAAGAGTAGATTTTACAGATTTGGCTAAAACAGCAACCGCAACTAAGAAGATTAAATTATGGACTGGATCCTTCAGGCCAAACCTGAAATTGTTGTGAATGTTTCCCGGGTAGCAACTAAAGGATTAATATCCTTTTTGCTTCCTTGTGCTGCTGTTTGGATACAATCAGTTAATAAGCCTATAAATCATAGTTTTATTTGATACTTCAGTATGTAGCACTTCATGCTCCAGATCAGGTCTCGGATTTGAACTTCTTTAATACAAAGAACACATGGCCAAAGAAACACATAAATACAGTATTTTAAACAACACATTAAGCACAAATGTTGTTTTATGATAAGTTTCTTTTAAGTTCTCAGGCTGCCAGTTTCAGATAATTTATGCTGAAAGTTTCCAGCCACCGTTTAAAAGTGAAAACGCCTCTGAAATGATTAAATGCGTGTCTTGTAAATTTTCAGAATGAAGACTGTCCTCTTAAATGAGGAGTAATTGGGCAAAGGTTAGTGTTGTGGGGCAACAGAAGTGTATGGGCTTTTTGTTTAAATAGTAGAGTAACGCTTCTTGTGATGACACACCCTGTTTACTTAAGCCACCTGATCTTCTGATTTTGAAACCCTGTCAGCTCTCTAAACAGAATGGGTGAGTACAGAACATGGCTCTTGCACCTGTGCTGCATAATCCTCTCTAATGGCAGCAAGGAAACTCCAAAATTACACATCAGCAATTCCTGTGGAAAGGCAAGTTTTGCAATAGCAAGTGTATTACTGTAAAGACTAGCTTTGTATCACTTGCATGATAATGACCCAGATCTATGCCCAATTCTTGCACCAAACATTCCCCTTTCATTGTGGAATGGGCATTGGTACCATCCTGTCAGATTTTCCAGCCTGTCTGTCCATCAGCTGTGGGGGAAAGAGGGAAGACTGACTGGATTTGGGAGTTGTCGCTCAATAGTCTGGCCTGGCGTGAAGACTTAAGTTAAGTGGCACCAATAAAGCCATTATTTTAAAGATATGAATAGGGGGTCAGAGTACTTGCAGAAGCATAAGGTCCTGCGTGGGTCTGTGGGGATAAGCCTTGTTTTCAGGAGAAGAGAATTGGGGGTTAGACACTGATCTTGGCTGACTCCCTGACAGGTTCATGTTGGACCAGCTAGGAGGAAAGCTTTATGAGAATTTCTTCTCTTTGAGAGCTCTGCTGTGGGTTCCTTTCCCATGCAGGGCATATTATGAGTCCATGTTTGTCCAATTGTCATTTGTCAAGAAACACAAAAGCTGAGTTTCCTTTGCAGAGTCATTGCTTTGTACATATGTATACATTCTCTTTTCTTATACTCCTTATTAAAATAGCCATAACATAAAATAGCCACACTTTCATGATCTTCATTTTAATGGCATGTTTCAATGTTGCTATTGGAACCCTAACTTCTACTTCAAAAGTGATCATTTTCTGGCTTTTTATTGGCACAGAGCCTTTTGTAAACTTCACTACTTTTGCCAGTCTGTGTGTAAAGATCTTTGTAACATTGTTTTGATTAAAAAGTTAAATAGCTATTAAGGTATGCTAAAATAAAACAACCCCTCTTAATATATTATTGTTTGTAAGGTACAGTCTGCTGTTGTAGTCAGTAAATAAAATGGGGAGGGTATAAGCCTTCATGATTAGAGGAAGACCCATTTTATTCTGCCAGCTCAGTATTGCTAATTTTCTATCACCACCTTTAAGATTTTAAATTCTTCTCATATAGTCAAAGATGAGGAGTGGCAGAATCATTCTGTATCAGGAAACATCTTAAAATGAAATAGAAATCAGGTACAGTTGTCTTGTTTGAAATGGATAACAAGCAGGAGGAACTAGCACTCCTATTCTCCAGTGGGCATTACAGTTTAGTAGGGATTACGAGACCTGGTGGGACTCCTCACATGATTAGAATGTAGCCACAGATGGCTACACCCTGCACAGAAGGGACTGAGTAGGGAAGAAAGGTGACATTGGCTCGAAAGAAAAGCGGCTTGAAACCCTCCGGGGCAAACTACTGGGGGGGGGGGGGGGGGG